CCTCAGTCTCCCAAAGTGCTAGGATTACAAAGGTGAGCCACCATGCCCAGGTTTAATCTTTTTGAAAGGAGCCAGAAATACCTATTAAACCAATAATCTCAGAAAGTTTTACTCTTGGCTCAAATTTTTTTTAAAACATTAAGGGAGTCAGAATCAAGTCATTTTGTAAACTCTGCATAACACAAATTTTGTATATATATACAATTTCTCTGTTTAGTATCTCAAGATGAAATAACCTACCTATCACAAAATTAAATGAAATATAGATATAATGTTCCAACCGTAAAGGAGAAGTGAAACAAGTTATTTATAAGGCAACATGTATTTCCACATGCAAATACTCAGACAGGACTACATTAGGAAACATAATTAGTAGTCAGCTACTTGCACCTGCATATGGACTGAATGAGACAGGTGTGTTGTCTTGGTGTCTCAAACACAAGCGGTGCAGCTTTGAGCAAGTGATTTTCTGAGCAAAATTAAGTAGAATCTTCCTTAGGTTACACAGCATTTTTAATCCTAGAAATTTCAGTGCATATATAGAACCAGTTTATGTTCTAAGCTCAGAAAAGTATAGAGGGCTTTCACCTACCTCTTTGGCAAGACATTTGAAAGGTGCATGGGACACGAACTGATCTGTCATTGAATGGAACATTCTAGAACATCACAGGACAGCTAGCAGTTTTTTTCTGCCCATGCCTGCTACCGGAGCCCCTCAATCATGTGACAAGAAAAAAACACACTTCCGGTGTGTCTCCCAGGAAGCAAAAGCATGCCCATTCAAAACCACTGCCCCCAGCCAGTCTCCAATCAAACTTCACCACGCCCTGAAGCCCTGAGAAATCATTCAGTCACTTACAGATCACCCCAGCTGAAGTAACATTTCACCGACTCACCCAATCACATGCAGCAATGACAAAACTCCTGGAAAGAATCTGTGTTTTCTCTAAAAGTATCTAAAGAACCATGATATTTCAGAAAAATCACATTTAGATTTCCTTACACGTGTTTTATTTTGAATTACAGAGTAGGGGGTGGACACAGATTAGGGGATGGACAGTCTATTTTTTAATATTTAGGGCCTACAAGTCTGGATCTGACCCTGCTCAAATTCCCAATCAATTTTGTAACAACTTCCAGGGAAAAATTATTTCAGGAACCTCTTAGATAACACTCAAATCCTAGTTTTACCACATTAAAAGGTTATGCATAACTCTGTTTGCTCACAAAATGCCATGTTTTCCATTTTGAAATAAAGTCTAGAAAAATTGGAAAAAGAGAACTACTTTCTCTGACCTTTTACAGACAAAAAACTTTCCACCCAAATTTTCAATTTCTTCACTTCTATTCTTTTGTATCTCTGCTTCTAAGACCTTGTTACACAAAATACTCAAAGAACTTACTAAAAAGAACATTTGGAGCTGAAATCTACTTGTCAAATAAACACAACCTAAAAAGTTAAGCAAAGCCATCATTTTCTAAGGTTCACATTTCCCTTTTTATAATGGGTAAATTAATTCTAGTAATAAATGATGCTGACAGTTTTATTAAAATCTGTACTTCTGCAGAGTAGTTCAAGCCATTGTCCGCCATGTGAATAGTTTCAGAGGTAAGAAGACCCGGGTTTGAACCTTGGTTCTGCCATTTACTGTGTATTCCCATACAAAATTCTCAACCAATTTCTTTACTTGTAAAGTACCACCTACAGTGCGGTGTTGTGACAGTAGGTACAGCACCTCACAAAGAGCTTTGCGCATAATAGTTGTTCATTAAATAGGAGTTATGGTTATTATTATTATAATTAGCTGTCATGTTTGCCAATATCTACTTATTAACTCACTCAACTATTTTCTTTTTAGTTGCCTCATGCATAATTTTTTTTCCTGGCTTGCAAAGCATTTTGAGATATGCTGAGTAAATGTTATACATTGGATTTTGTATTTAGAAACCTCACTAAACTGTCTTAAGAAAAACTAAGAGAAAAGAAAAGAAAGCAGTTATTAAACTGTGATTCGACATTTACTGAACCAGTCATGTGATAGTAAGCTTATGAAAATTCACTTTCTGATGTGTAACACCCTGAACCTATTTGCCCCATGAACTGCTTTAAATTTTACCTGGTTCTTCACAACATTTTAATTGTTTTTCTGTGACCTTTTCAACACAAAGACTCTAATTTTTTGTTAATCAATATTTTTTATTATGATATTGTAGGGTACAGTTAAGAGACTCTAATTTTTAGTGTTTTTATATCTCATATTCAGGTCGCCAGTTGGTACTTTGGTACCTACAAATAGCTCCCATGGTCACATCTACACACTCACACACCACCTCACATAACACACTCATCTGGTCCTTGTCAACACATGCCCATCTCCCAGTCCGGAAGGGATTCTTTGATCTCAAAGAAACTGGCTGGGAAGAGAATTGGGGGACTCAGAAATATAGTAATTCATAATCTGTTTGGGGGTCTTTGAAAATCTGAGGAAAACTATTGACCTTCTGTGGTGTGTGTGTGTGTGTGTGTGTGTGTGTGTGATGTCTGTCTCTCTCTATATATATACGTGTGTGTGTATACATATATACATGTTGTGCATATATATATGCATATAAAACTGCATTTTGCAGGCTCCTTGAAAACCATTAATAAACTCCGATTTATTTCAGTGCTCCCCAAACTTTTTTGACTGAAGTAAAAAAAAAAATTAGATCTAATGTCAGAATACAGCCTATACCTACATACATAAACATGAATGTCTAAAACTGAAGCTTCTGGAAATATTAGTACTCCTACCATGTACAATGGTTTCTGACATTTCTTTTGTTTCATCTAAAATAGTGCTTAAGACTCACCATGTCACTTTCTCATTACCCATACTCTGACAAACAGTAGTCTAATCTAGCCTCTCCCCATTTTAGGGCTAAAGAAACTGAGACATAAAGAAATAACGGACAATTAACTCATTGTCCTAGGTCACTAGTGAGTTATGACTCAACAAGCCAGGGCCTGCCTATCTTGACTCCCAATCCGAGGCTCTTTCCAATAGAAAGGCAAGCAAAAATTCTAAACACCAACTCCCCTCAAAAAAAGGCGGAGACTCTGAAGCATAAAACATACTGACACACCGAGAAAACGGGAGAGTTTTCATTCTAAACAACGTTGAATATTAACTCGAGCCTTCCAGTTCGGGCAGTGTTCATTTTCCCTAAATCATGTCCGTGGCCTAGCATGACTTGGCAAATAAGCAAAATGTTCTTCTCCAGAAACTCTTTCTCCGGCCACTGAAAACAGCACGGGAGAAGCCAACATTCTTCTTGGCGTCAATTTTAAATACTTTGATTACACACGTATTGCTTGTCCATGAGAGGCCGTCTTAGAGTCAGGGTGACTAGGTCCTTTTTGCACTTACTAGGCCCATGCGTGGTGTTTTCTTACCCACTAGAGCTGCCGAATTAAAATTTAAACATCAAAACCACACAGATCAATACGCGCATGTGAATGATCCCGGGCCTCTGAGATGCTAACACGACCCACAACCGCCACCTGGCCCTTTCCAAAACCTCAACCACACAAGGGGGGACTGTTTCAGAGCCTTTTTCACAGTTCAGGAGATGAAAACTCCACCGGCATCAGGCGGTGCGCGGTGCTTCCTCCCTCCTTGTCTTGTTTTAATGTGGAGTATACAGATCCCTGCCCATCACAGGGAGGGACTGGTCCTGTGTCACAAGCCAGAGAGCGCGGTGGCCTCCCGGGGACACTGGAAGGCCGAGCTCGGCGGCCCCACGCGCAGGAGGGCTTGGGCCTGCGCTGTCGCACGGACCAGCCAGACAACTTAACCCGGGCACGGGGAGGGGCGCGGGACGCCGCGCGCAGCCCCCACGTGCGCCCCCAGCTCCCTGCGCCAAGGGCAACGCGCTGGGCCTCCTTGGAGCTGAGCGCCTCCGGAGCAGGGCGGGTGCGGACCGAGGCGCGGGGGCTCCGATCTCGCCCTGCACGCCGGTGGGAAGAAAGGGGGGACCGGCGAGCCCTAAAATTAGCACTCCGGGAGCAGGGGCAGGGCGCTTCGGCGCGGAGATGGCGTCCTCCGCCGAGCGCTGTCCCGGGGCGCGCGGCCGGTCTGCGCCTTCCTCGGGCACGCGGGCCCGGAGCATGACCACGCAGCGGCGGGGAAGGGCCCCCCGGAAACAGGATCGGGGAGCACGTGCGGCCTCCGGAGACGGAGGGGGGGCTGTGGGGGGGCTATCGCTCCTCCCCCAACTGCGGCAGAAAATTCAAGGAGCCTCGGAATTTAAAACCCCAGAATCCTCGTTGCTGAACTTAAAATGTGGTTGCCTCATTCTCAGCGAGCCCTCTCCTTCCCTCGGTCTCACTGAAATCCGTTTCTCTCCTCCATTCCTCCAACAGAATTAGAGTGTGGGGGGGGGGGGGTGATGTACCGGGAGCCCAGAGGGTGGAGGCCGACGAGTGGGGGGAGCTCGCACCCGAACATTCCTGCAAGATAAACAGTTCTGAAGGTCAGCGCGGCTCCCCCAGGGCGCCCGCCGGAGAGATTAATGTCCACTGAGCCTTGCTCCAGCGGCGGCGTCTGTCCTGAGACCCCAACTGTTTAAGCCCCGAGCATTTCAGATATTCCAATCCTGATGAGGTACAGATCACCTGCATAGCCATCATTGTTTTGAACACCTCCAAATAAAACCATCATAACTCTGGGAGCCGTCATAAAGGAAATCTGTGAAACGGAAACAGGCTGCTCAGCCAAGATCACACGAAGAACGCGCAAACTGGGTTAGATTTAGCACTACAGAAAGGGAAAGCTGAATGACACAAGATTTGGAAACTAGAAGCTCGTCATCTTCTAAGTCGCCCTCTTCATTACATAACGGGAACGGCCAAACAAGATGCGCAGGTCGTTTCCAACCCGGTGGGGCCGCCAACCCAACGCGCTGGCGCGGCGGCGCCTCCCCTCCGGGTCTCAGCCTCCCGCCGCCGCCGGCCTTACCTTTATTTTCAGAATCTTTCATCCTCTGCTCCCTCCCCCTGCGGCCAAGGAGCAGAGGAGTCCGGCTGACTCTGCACCCCTGACTTCTGGCCTGTCATTCGCAGACCGTCAGCGGTCTCGGGGCGAAGTCCCTCACGGAGGAGCAGCGGCTGCGGCGACCGCACGCCAGGCGGCCCGCGGGGTGGTCACTGGGCTTCTGCGGGAGCCGGAGGAGGGCGCTGGAGGCCGACGTAAACACGCGTTCCAAAACGTGGCATGGAACCGGATCTGGAGCCAAGGCCTGCCTTCCCCTCCCTCGGGAGAGGCGGCCGGCTGCTCGCGCTTCCTGGTCTCGAGAGATTCGGTTCCGCCGAGAGGGGGAGAGCGTCTGTGCCGTGCGCCAGGCGTGTTTTCAGATGGTGACCCAACTTTGGAGGGAGATTAAGAGCCGCGTACTTGCGTTCATTCGTTCAACGAACATCCCTGGAACCCCTCCGTGGACGGGGCGCTCTGCTAAGCACTGGGGATACAGCAGTGTAAGACCAGCCTCAGTCCCCAAGCTGCTCACAGGCTGCTACAAGACAGAAGCTTACATGCCATCCGATGACCTGTGTCTGCTGCGTGGACGCAAGTTATTGAAGCCACTTCACCCAAGCGTAAGTGGATACTCAAAGAGGCTTTAGTCACTGAATGGCTGACCCACAAACAGGTGTGAGGAGGGCAAGAAGAGTCAAGCAAATCATTCTCCGACGCAAGCTTCCCTTGGATCATTACACAGCTCAGATTCATTCATTCATTCATTCATTCATTCCATCAACCGTTCATTCAACAAACGGTTCGTTGTGTCAGGCCCGGTTCCACCTGTTAGAGTTTCCCATGTCTGTTCTCATGGCCATTACACTCCGGGGGGAGGATTCCAACAGGCAGCAAATAAACAAGTACAAACATATAATAAATGCTGTGAAGAAAAATGAAGTATGGTCATGAGATAAGATTAGGTGGCCAGACTAGGTGGCATGTAACTTATTTTATGGAAAGTGGGTAAAAAGTCACCGCCATCGCTTCCAACACCTTCACTCAAAACTTGTTTCTCAAGTTCTCAACCCTCCAGCCTCCTCTGCTTCATACGCACCCACTGATGGGTGATGTTTCTTCCCCATTATACAGATCGGTAAACTGATATCCAGAGAGATTAACTGACCCAAACCAGGACCTGATTAAGTTGGAAGAAGAGCAACAAAAAGAAATATGTCTCTTACCCTCATCCTCAGAAAGTGTGGGGTTAAATGCAACACTGACATTTAAAACCTGCTGGACTAGGAGGAAAGAGGGTTGAAGACTCATCTCTAGCATTTATTAACCGAGTAGTGTAGAGCAGTGATTTAACCTCTCTGGCACCAGTTTCCTTGTCTGTAAAGTGGGGATAATCATGGTTGCCCTGTATTGGCACCAGGCTGTTCAGAAGATAAAAGGGAGAATGGGTGCAGTACTTTGTAAACTAAATGCTGCATAAATGCAAGGTATAATTACCAACTGCTTGAACACATTGAAGAAGACTAATTGCCAGTGTTCACCCATTCATTACTACAGCCCAAGAGTCAAAGATGGCTACAGAGAAAGCTTTCGTGGCCACGAGGGGTCCTTGAGTTGATTTCTAGCTGCCACAATTTGAAGACTCCCTGAAAGTTTGGGGACATTTTAAGTATTTCCTTTTGGTTCCCATCTTTCCTCATCACCAAGAATACCATCATGTTCCTCTTTGACAACTTAAGACCAATAAGGAAACCTGCCTTCGCTACAACCCCTTCCTGGCCACCAAATGAGCCACTGGCCCATATGCCACATTGGAGAAACAGGCATCTTCCTCTCCAAGGACCAAGTCCAGGATAGCCACTGCATACCCAGGCTGAGAGGGTGAGGAAGCAGGTGGTGAGCGGCCACCCCTCATGCACTCTTTCATTCAAGAATATCTGTGGCGGTGCTCCAAACACGGGGGACGGCACCGTGCTGCACAGAACGTTCTCTGTCCCCGGGAGCATGTGGTCTTAGGTCGAGCAGTTTCCATAAGGTATGACGATCTACAGACTCAGGCAAAGAAATGCCATGGCCTGGGTTTGCATCATAGGGCAAGGGCTCTAGAGCAGAAGAGGATGGGTCCAAACACAGGCCCTGCCACTCACCAGCACCCAGAGTAAGCTGGGACAAGTGCACGCATCTCTGTAAGTTTCCATCACCCGCTCTGTAGGACTGAGGTCATAATAATGGTGCCCACCACCAAAGGCAGGGTGAGGTCCCAATGAGGTAATCTGCATCAAGTGCACGGCTTAAAGCCTGACACATAAAGGGCTCCATAAATGTTGCAAGATTAATATTATTACCCATGACTGGGTCAAGTTTACCTCTCAGAGCCTCAGTTTCCTCATGAAATATGGAAAATAATAACTAGTTTGTAGTGTTATTGCGAGATTTGCCCCTGAGGAAGAATACAGAGCCCTTGCATAAAGGGAGTAGCTAACCACCAACCAGCCTCACTCCAGGCCTTTCTTAACCAACAGTTTCCCCCAGACAAAAAGACAAGTGCTGCGAAGTGGAAAGAGAGCAGCCATTTACACTAAAAAGGAGGCCAATTGTTTCAAAAGCATGGTTATTTCTAGAGGTATCTACATTTTACCCAACATTGTCTTTTCAAAAGCTTTCAAACATACAAACAAGTTGAAAGAATCATATATGAGCCCCATATCCAAACGCACGTTGGTATATCTGCTTTATCACATGTGTCCGTTTCTTTATCCAGCTTCAATAAAATAGTCAAGTTGAAAGAAGTTGGGTGGGATTGACAGTAGTCGATATCTGCCTGGGGAAGGGAGGACACACCTCATCAATAAGGGTACCTGCACAATGAATATACCTAACCCTGAATTGTACCCCACAATTTTAAAATAAAAATTAAAAGAGGAAAAAAATAAAAAAGAAAGAAATTGGAAAGACTCATCAAATAAAAAGAGCCTTTACTTTCCCTCCTGACACAGCATTTACAGAAGTCTGAAGCCTCCTGATACTGTGGCCATTCCCAGCAGGGCCAGGTGAACTCTCAGAAGTCTTGTCCTGCCCCACGGTCAACCTCCAGGCCACACCCAGTTAGGGACAAGGATGGGTCACACCTTGGAGCTTTCCACAGCAGGGTACGTCTCTGGCAATAAACTGATCTGATGCACCATTATAAACAGCCATGAATGGATGTGATGCCCTATCTCAATAACTGGGTTTAGGGGAAGCTTCAGGTGGACTCCACTGGCCAGGAAGTCCTTGACAACTCTGCACATCCTTGTCTTGTTAGATGCCACTTCTGAGTCACCAAACTTGTGAGTCATGCTCAGCAATCAGAGGCCATCTTGAGAACAAAATTGAAGAGAATTTTCAAGAACAATGAGTGAGACCCTGAATTGAAAGGGAATAAGGCCTATTATTGTCCTAGCAAAACAAAAAGGAAAAATATGCTGCTGGGTTTTTTAATATTGTGGGTTAAACTTCCCCCAGCTGCATTTTTACTGTGAAGAAAAACTGAGGGTGACAAAAAACGTTTATAGCCAGGCTCGGAGGCTCAGCCTGTAATCCCGTGCCTTGGGAGGCTGAGGTAAGTGGATTGCCTGAGCCCGCGGGTTCGAGACCCGCCTGGGCAACTAGGCGAGCCCTCATCTCTAAAATAAATCAAAAAATTAGCCGGGCGTGGTAGCGCGCACCTGTAACAGTTACAGCTACTTGGAAGGCTGAGGCGGGAGGATCGCTGGAGCCCAGCAGGTAGAGGCTGCGGTGGCCGGGAGTGGCCACTGCACTCCAGCCTGGGCGACAGAGTGAGACTCCAACTCAAAAAAAAAAAAAGTTGTAAGTTGAATAAAGATCTGGAAGTTATCATTTAAGCCATCCATTAGAGTTTCATGGTGGGTAGCATGGTAGCATTAACGGAATTTATAACTCTAAACCATTTTAACTGATGCCCAGGATTAGTATTTATTTCATTTAGTTGAATATGGTTTTATTTTATGGTAATTTTTAAGCCTTTATGGAAACAATAATAGTTTACAGGTACTATTACAGGTATAAGAATTTTATAAAGTTTAAATCATGAAATATAACCCTAAATTTTATGTAATTAAAAATATTAGCCAGGCTTGGTGGCTCAGCCTGTAATCACAGTGCTTTGGGAGGCTGAAGTGAGTGGACTGCCTGAGCCCGCAGGTTCGAGACCCGCCTGGGCAACTTGGTGAGCCCTCATCTCTATAAATAAATAAAAAAATTAGCCGGGCCTGGTAGCGTGCGCCTGTAGTTCCAGCTACTCAGAAGGCAGAGGCGGAAGGATTGCTGGAGCCCAGCAGGTCGAGGCTGCGGTGGCCAGGAGCATGCCCCTGCCCTCCAGTCTGGGTAACAGAGTGAGACTCCAACTCAAAAAAAAAAAAAGAAAAAGCATTTATACATTCCCTTGGAACTTTTGAGGCATTTTATTTCTTGATCAGTGCATAGGTAACCAAAGAGAGACTCAAACACATGTCTCAAATTAGGCAGATGGAATGATCTTTCAATGACTTATCTAGAATCTCATGGAGCTTAGTCATTCATTTCCAAAATGAGCCAGCATGGGGTGGAGGGAACCTGGCTTCACCACCACACTTGCCTTCCTCCATCCAGCCAAGCCATAAAAGAAGAGGGATGGAAAAACCAAAAAAACTGCTTTTTGGGGAGGGGGGGAGGTTTATGATTAGGGCTAACTACAGAAGAGGGCAGCATGACTGTAAGAAAAGCTGCATAAACTCCCATGAAGAGAATCCTTTGAGCCCAGGAGTTCAAGACCAGGCTTGGCAAAATAGCCAAACCTCATCTCTACAAAAACAAAAGATAAAAATTTTAAAATTGCCAGACTCGGTGGTTCAGCCTGTAATCCCAGCACTTTGGGAGGCTGAGGCGAGTGGATTGCCTGAGTCCACAAGTTCAAGACACACCTGGGCAACTTGGCGAGACCTCGTCTCCACAATAAATCAATAATTAGCCGGGCGTGGTAGCACACACCTGTCGTTCCGGTTACTTGGATGGCTAAGGTGGAAGGATCGCTGGAACTCAGTAGGTCAATGCTGAGGTAGCCATGAGTGCACCACTGCACTCCAGCCTGGGTGACAGAATGAGACTCCAACTAAAAAAAAAAAAATTAGCCAGGCATGGTGGTACGCACCTATAGTCCCATCTACTCAGGAGACTGAGGTAGAAGGATC